TATTCCATAGTATGTACATACCACATTTTGTTTTTCCATTCATCAACTGATGACAGAAATTTGGGTTGTTTCCACCTTTTAGTTATTATAAATTTGCTACTAACAAACATGTCTTATTATATGAAAAAATTTTAATAAAGAATATGATATGAAAAATCATATTGCTACTAAACAGTATGATTTCTGAATGTTTCAATGGATGGCAGAACAAAAACATCTCAAAATGGCAGACAAGTTTTCTTATAATAAAAACATGTTTCAGGGGAGAAAAAAGTTTTATGTCAATAAAATGATGAACTGTATGTGGTATTCATCTCCTGTTGAAACAGAGGTTTCTTGTGTGAGGAAGAACACTGTCTGAAGGAGAATTTAAGCGCCTTCTCACACACATTTGTGACTCCACTGCCTATAACCACGCCCCAAGAATGTTTATCATTCTCCTGACTTCTTTACACCCATGAGAACAAAATCAACATTGAAGCATGACCTAATTCTCTTTTTGAGGGATAATAAAAACAGTTTAGCCTGATTACCAAAGACAGAAAATAATTTCAAAATAATCTGTGTAGCATTTAGCACAATATTTACAAAAAGATATAATGCCTTGAAGCTGTCATAATAGAAGGAAACTTATTCTTTACAAAATAAAGAACATTTTCCTGAAATAATTATAAATTATTTTTTTATGCTATGGTCCAGACAAGATTTTTATTACTGRCAAAAATGAACAAACAAAACAAAACAAAACAACTGTTAAGTGGATCTCCATGGCAACTTCCTTTTGTAGAGATGAGGGGAAGAGAACATTAGGAATTATTATTGTGTTCCTACTCCTTTTTGGCAGGGGCTCTACTATATATTTTATCTACACAGATTTCCTCATTTAATCCACAGAACAGCCTTATGTAGTAGGTACTATACTTTATTCTCATTTTACAGAGATTAGCTAGCTATGTGCTGAAGAGAGTGTGCATGTTCTGTGTGAGCAAAGAACTAAGAGTCTCCTGGTCTTTGCTGGGACTCTGTGTCTCTGTGTATGTTGGGGTACTGGGACATGCAGTTACAACTTTTACTTCTTGCTTATGCAGAGCCCAATGTGTGGATTGAAGACCTTCCCAGGTCTTTCCTGAGCATGCACACTCAAGACTTTGCTCACACAGAACACACACCTACAATCCAGGTACAGTCTTCCATATCTCTCTCCATTCACAGCCACTATTCCTAAAAACTAACTCCACTATTGCTGCCACTTCCTCGCTTCTAATTCTTTTTGAATCCCAYGTGCTTCCATGCAAAACATTCCCTTTAAACTGTGTCAGAATTTATAATGACTTTGTAACAGTCAAATCCAAATCCAAAGGATGTTCTTTACTATCTCTCTAGCCTTTCTGACTTCTTACTTCTCAAACACTCTCTTCCTTGGTTAACTGACCTTTTTCTTTATTCTTAAATGGCTCCTCTTCTCCAACTACACCTTTAATTCTTTAATGTCCACCAAAACCTAGGGGTTTATCCTTGATCTTTGTGCTAGACCCATTGGTTCTTTTCTATAATTTCTATTTATTAATATTCCCTATTTTGATGAAATATTTTCATACTTTTCTTTAGTTCTCTATATACAGTCCCCTTGGATTCTTAAAATAGTTAAAGTCTTGATTAATAAAGTCTTAATAAATTCAATATTTTGGCCATGCTTTCTTGTTTCTTTCATATCTCATGAGTTTTGTTGAAAAATGACTTTAAGTAATATAGCTATTCCAAAAATCAGATTCTCCCCCTTTCCCACAGTTTGTTAATTGTTTTTAGTGACTTTTCAATACTAATTCTTTAAAATCTATATTTTTTGTCAGATACAACCACTGAATTTTCTTACTGATTGAGTAGAGATTTCCTCAAATTCCTGGAACTAAGAGTCTCCTGGTCTTTGCTGGGACTCTGTGTCTCTGTGTGTGTTGGGGTACTGGGCAATGCAGTTTCAACTCCACCTTAGTCTTTTACTTCTTGCTTATGCAGAGCTCAATGTGTGAATTGAAGACCTTCCCAGGTCTTTCCTGAGCATGCACACAGTCTTCTATATTCCTAAGTCTAWGTTGGATTCTTTTCAAGGTCTCTGTGGCTATTTCATTCCTCAACTTTTCCTTTTAATTTTTTGGGTTAGTCTGTTGTTTGCCCCAATTGATACTCCAGAGAGCTACACTATTAAACAGTTGTTGCTGACTGGTCTTAGCAAATGCTTCTGGAGAAAATATTCTTTATGCTGGGTGAGTGTTCATTCAGGTAAAATATAAACTTTTCAAGGGGGGTTTGCCAGGAAATTGACAGGATAATGACAGTTCTCAAAGGATGGGGCTTTAAAAGAGCTTCAGCTCCATTTGGACTCCTCTAGGGCTGATGAGGCTGCTTAATTTATACCATAATTGCAAGCTGTTGGTTTCCAAGACTACCATGGAGCCGGGGAGAAGAGGGTGGTATTTTTAGTGGCATGTCCACTAAAACCTTGATTTTTGTGCTGATGAAAATGCCATGAAG